ATATATATATATATATATATATATATATATATATATAAGGTTTTTAGTAAAAAGTCTCCTCTTAAAAAATTCAAACCTTCCTTAAAAAATAGGCAATCCAAAAAATGACATTCCTAAAAAGTGAAAAATGACTCTATCTATAGGTGATCAATTGTTTCAATGTTTTCAATAAGAAATTGTGGACTTCTTAAAAAATAAATAAAAAATAAAAAACTTCCTATCCTAAACTCAAATGGAAAAAAAATCAAATATTGCCTATATAACTCCTATAATAATCATACTGCAATAAAATCCTCCTAAAATTTCTCAATATCACCCTAAAATCCCATATAATTTTTCTACTCAACTCCATTTCTTTCTAGAACACTTACCTACATTCTCATTAGAAATAGAATTCCCTTTATTCTTACTGCATGTATCTACCCTTAACTATGGCTTAATTAGTAAAATCCGACCATTTCCAACCCGGATCACTGACCCCAGATGGGGAACCTGGCCGACCGACAACCCAATCTGTTCGCACCCCAAGCCCTGCCTCTCTGGGCTTCAGCCACCTTCCTTGGTGGCCTATAAGTAGGCGCTCAAGTCATCCAAGGAGGCGCCACAGTTTCTCCCTAGTGCCCCACCCAGACCAGATTGATACTTTGCCCATGTATATATCCATAAAGTACAAAGAAATATTTAATCAGCTGGAAACTCAACGATGGACACAACCAGAGAATAAACTGATTATAATTTGTACACTCGGATTCCAGGCCATGCCATGATCATCTTGCTTGACATCCCCCATCCCCCAAAACTAACAATCAATCAACAGAGAGATCACGTGAGCATCTTTACATCCCCAGCCCTATAATCCAAGAGCCTCCTCCCTCCACTTCCGCACTGGTTATGAACTGCCTCCAGCGCCTGCATGCACACTCCCGAAAATCCTGTAACCGCCTGAAAAACATTAGGAAACCCAGTCTGCAAATTGTTGACAGTCATGGCCCTTGTCACCCTGACACACTTATCGTACTTATCCTTCTCCTCTTCCATTCTACACCTCAATGCCTCAGCTTTCGCCCTCTTCTCCGCCACTCTTTCTAACCCCAAACCATGAGCATCATAAGGCCCATACTTGCACTCCAATGCCCTTAATGCACACACCTTCTTCTCTAAGGCCTTTGACGCAGATTCCAACCTCTTCTTTTGACGATGTTCTTCACCTTGTTGTAGAGATATCGCCTGAACGACCGCTAAGAAGCTCTTTATACCCTCTGATGCCACTCTATCAGGGAGTCTATCGAGAGCAAGTTGCCACTCTTCACAAAGGGATCGAATCGGGGGGTCTTGATGGAGTTTCTGGTGCAACGTATGACGAGGGTCAGAGGAGGAGAGAGTGAGACCAACCCAAGAGGAGAGAGAATGAATGTAGTCACGGTGGGTTTGGACAAGGGTGCAAAAGGAGGAGTGCCATTTTTGGACTTGTACTTCAAGTTGGAGTGTCGCTTGTCGGTGAGAAGGGGAGGTGGGTTGGGGGGACGTTGATGGGGAAGCATGGAGGTACTTGAGCTGTTCGACAATGTGGGTTTGGACTTGGTGGCACTCGTATATGCTCCTCCACATCTGCATCAATCTGCAGAAAACATGGAGAATTTGAAAAACCCTTTTGAACGTGAACTATATAGACTCAAAGTTAAGACAATCAAATTTTATAAAGTTAATACAAAAGGTTTGCAAAGTCCAAGTATTCGCACATGCCATAGTTCTAGAAAGAATTTCCACCAAATGTAAACTATAACAAAAAAGGAAATGGGTAGATGCTTATAAACGGATTGTTTACTTTGTATTTGGTAAATCAATTATTTTTACGAAAGATTAGAAAGATATAAGACCATTTACATTTGGTACAAGAAAGTCATAATCACCACTGGCCATTGGATATCAAATAGGGCAGCTGCAAATTTTCTATTCACTAGGCTCAAAGTCCAAAAGAAATTTTTTCAAGATCTATGACATATCCCAAACTGTTAAATTTCACATCAGACAACTATAGTTGACTCTGTCACAGATCTATGACATATCCCAAACTGTTAAATTTCACATCATAATACAACTATGGTTGATTGTGACTACCTTGTACTGTAAATAAATGGTCTCATACTATAAACCCCTTCCTATATATGCATTTATATTGATTGGGTAACCCCTCACAAAATCATAAAAGGGATCAAAAATCCCAATTACCATTGGAGAGTTTACTTTCTAATTTTCATTTTCCTCAAGTATCTCCTAAAAGATGCTAATTTAAAAAAGAATGATAAAAGAGAAACACAAGGGGTGGCAGTAATTGATTTACTCTACCCTTTAAGCAGATGAAGGAGCTGGTGATAGAGCTCTGAATCCCTGAGCCTTAGGATCTCAGCAGCAGTTGTCTCCATGGCTTGAGAGGCAACCATCATTCTTGACTCCAAACTTTCTGTCTCTTTCCTCCTCTTCTCAACCTTTGCATAGTTTACCATCCCCTTAGCCTCCCATTTCCTCAATGCCCCAACCTTCTTGTCCTGCTCTTTCTTCATGCACTCCCAGTTCTGCAATATCCACAAATCACAATTCATAGCCAAAACAATGGAGAGCGAGAGAGAGGTCCCATGTGTTTCTCTATTCCCACCAACCTTATCTCACACGAATCATTTACCAGTAACCAGTCAGTATCCTTATGAAAAATCAATCAAATCAGAGCATTTCCGAGGGCGAATCCACGTTTGAGTTCGATCAATGAATTTGACAATGAATACCAGAAGGCATTAAAGATACATTGTGTGACATCAAACAACACTATGACCCCTCCCCAAATGTGAAGGTGCATTGCACAAATGTTTTTCAGAAAATCAGTTTTGCACAGATTCTTCATGAAATTCACCAACATAATGTACTGGCTAGCAATTAACTGAATGAAGGGCAATTCTGATATATAATAGTGTTTAAGCCACCTTTTGGTAAAATTTGGCAAGCACACTTCTTTGCAAAGCAGAGAAACAAAAACACCCCAGCAGAGACAGCTGAATGGAGAGACATAAAAAATGAAAATAATAATTTGTTAGGACAAGTAAGACCGTTCTCCCCAATTTGTGTCCCTGTGCTTACCCTACTGTCTTTTCTCCTAAAATATTCATACACCACTAAATCAGAAGAACAAAACAATAAACATAAAAAGCAAGAGTTAATGCAACCCAAAATTTAGTAATTAAGAATACTGCCAGAGTTGCAGAGAGAGAGAGATGCACCTTCACCTCCTGGTAAAGCTTCTTTTCCCAAGCGTAGAGCTTCTCGACCGTACAACAATGGCTACCACTAGCACCTACGCAGACTCCACCACTTATCTCATCCACATACCTCTCATAGCCGCTCAGCGGTTTTGCCTCCAATGAATAACCCCACGACAACAGCCCTCTCGCAGAATGGTAAACCCTGTCTGTAAAACGAACAACTCAATAAGCTAGAAAGAGAAAAAAAATCACATCCATGGAAGAACTGAGAGAAAGACCCCTACTTGTTTTATGCTTGGAGAGATTGAAGATAGGGGCATTGGGAACCTCAAGGAGCATAGAAACATGGCCACCACAATTCGCTGCCTGCAGGAAATAGTCATCAAGATCCTTCACAATCTGTGCCAGGTCCTTGCTACTCCTCGAGACAACAACCGCGAGATCACTCGTCCCCTTGGAATAGGTAGAACAGCTCACCACCGAAGAAGGTGGGGGAGGAACAGTCGACGACTTTGTGCCTCCAGAAAGAGACGTATCAGCGTCATAGTCTGGTGGGGGAGGAGGCGGCAGAGGAACTGCAGCCGCAGAGTTGGTAGTGGTGGTGACAGTGGTCGCATTCTCCCAATCCGTCTCTTCATCTTCTTCGCGAGGGGGGGGTCTACTAGAAGAAGAAGGCTTAAAAGGATCCCAAAAGTCCCAACCACCTGAAGGGGGAGGAGGGGGAGGAGGAGGAAGAGTGAGAGAAGTCCACGTGGTTTCGGCCGAAGACGAAGTTGTGACAGTGGCGGTAGGGCTCATCGGAGGTGGTGGAGGAGGAGGAGGTGGTGGTGGTGGCGATGGCGAAAGAAGTGGGTTGCGGTGGTATATTTGTTGGTGGACATCTTCGTTGGTGGCGAAGTGGAGGAGGGTGGAGCCTGTGGAGCGGAGGGAATGGATGTAAGAGGCATGGGCGGCTGAAAAAGCATGGCGGTTGTGGACCAGCTGCTTCATGTGGCGGCGCCGCGCCTTGCACCGACTTACTGCCTCATCTCCTCTCTCCCCCACCACCACCCCTGACCAGCAACACCCCATCTCCTTCTCTCTCTATCTCACCACCCCGCCAACAAACATATAGCTTCTCTCTTTTTTTGGTGTATAGTTTTTCTCTCTAAAACTTCTCTGCAATCCCCTTCATTTGCAGGCAGGAAGAGATTTGTAGAGTGAGAATCAGATATTCAAAGAGGAGACTTGTAAAAAGAGAAAGAGTAGTGGAGAGAAAAAAGAGTAAACAGAGGATAGTGGAAAGAGAAAGAGAGACCTTTGAGAGAGAGAAAGAGAGAACTTAGAGAGAGAGAGAGAGAGAGAGAGAGAGATAGTGGGAAAGATGCATTTTTGCAGGTGGAGAGGAAGACCGTTTTTGAGGGTGGGCGGGCGCGGAGAGGCACAGCCAGAGAGGCGGCTTTGGGCAGAGTGCAGGGAATTTGTTTATTTAGGAATATAACAGCGAAAAGCCCCTCACGTATTCCGAAAATACCGATAATACCCTCTTTATCTTTTTAAGGCAAGCAGGCCGTCGTATGCCCGCTGCTTATTAATTCAAATTTGAAAATAAACAGGGTTGCCCATTGTCATTCTTTTACGTCATTCGGCTTCGTGTTCTCGAATAAGTTTTGCACGAGATAGAAAATATTCAGGTTGCTCCCTCGGGATCATGTAAGTCTTGTGCTCATCCGCTGCACTCTAAACCTTTTCCGAGTACTTAATGGCGTGCTCTGCCCAGGGAACGAAAAACAAAAAAGCAATAGTAATCTACGACTCGTACATGTACAATAACCTCCAACACCTATTGGTGTAACATTACAAATAATCACTATTAAATTTGATAAACTTTTTTCGTACCCATGTGATAAAGACAAATATAAAATGAGATAATTATTTTAAGTATTTGTGGCAAATTTAATCGTGATCATTTGAAGTCTTACACATATGAGTGTGGGAGGGTCTCCTATGATCATTACTCATTCAAAAAAAAAAATTTATATAATGAGTAATGATCCTATGAAATCAATATTAAATTTATCATAGATATCTAAAAGTCAAGTCTCACACCTATGTAATAACTTTTTTAGAGATTTGTACCAAATTTAATGATTGATCATTTGGGGTCCTACACACGTGGAAGGGTCTCATAGGATCATTACTATTATATAATTTCAACAAGAATATGTACCTCAAAAATCCTTCCCAAAAGGTTGTTTTGATGTTGGAAAAGCATCTAATTGATTGTCAAGATACGCATGTCTAAAAAAAAAAAAAGATTTCAAGTCCTAAAAATAGTTCATTTTATAATGCATTATTTGGACGATCTATTTTTAAGTTTTCTATGCTTATATAGATCTGCTCCATATTAGCTATTTTTGGAGCTTTGTCTTTTATAATTAGCAATAAAAATAGATTCTCGCACTATCCTAATAAATTTCTACATCAAAAATACATATCATGACAAAGTTTGGAGGTCCACCTTAATCTAATTGTTTAATATTACAACCTTATGCGAACCACACCCATTTCAAAATATCCATTAAAATATAGCCCTAAGTTAGAATAGTTGCAAATGAGTACAATGTTGAATAGTTCCTCTCTTGTTACCTTTCTTAATAAACTTTCTTAAAAAAAAATTTCTTTTTTTAATTTTTAGTTTTCTTAATAAAGACAATTTTTATCTGAAATTACAACTCCAAGTCTAACCAATGTTAACTTTGAATTTTCAAAGTTTAAAGATAAGACTTGTGGAAATGACTTCAGACCAATGATTTAAAAAGCGGATCGGTGACTCGGATCAGGCACTTCAAAAATCGATTCGGATTGGCTAATAGGCGATCCGGATCGAGAATCGGCTAAAGCGATCGGATTAAAGCTTAAAAAAAATCCGAAAAAATTAGTAAAAATTATTATAAATGTTGTTTTTTAGGAATCCAATAAGAAATGAGGGTACTGCATTATTAACTTTAAGTTTTTTATCAATTTGTGAATATTGAGATGCTCTTTCCCTGTATAAATTTAAGTATTAAATTTGCATCATATAAAAAAAAAAATCATAGCATTATCATGGATAAAATATATAATTATACATGGACTATAATAAAGAATAGACTAAATCAATGAAAGAATGGCCATTAAAATCTCGTTTTGGCAAACAACCCTAATACACTAAAAAAACCCAAATTATTACAACCTAACTAATTAAAATATTATATACTGAAATTATCATTATTAGTTTACATTTCATAATTATTTTATTAAATAAATAATAACAAATTAAAAATATTTTATAATATTATCTAATTTAAAATGTATTATTGACAACTGTAAGAAAAATAGTACATTACATGATTTATAATGTAAAAATTAATAAATAAAATAAAAGATTTGGTTATCAATGTAAAAATTAATAAAATGCGTATAAATTTTGAAAACAACACTTTAATTTATTATATGCTCAAGGGGGAACAAAAATTAGCTCAAGAAAGGATAACTATTATATGGCCCAAGAGGGGTTTCGAACTTGAGATGTCAAAACAAATAACATTAGTGATAACCATCATGCATCCTTAACATATGTATTTAAAATTGCCTATTAATAGCATATATTTACATTATGTTTTCATTTAATGATGTTTGGGAATTATCCCACATCGAAGGATGAGAATTCAAATATGCTATATAAATAACTATGTAATTGGAAGATTAATGTAAGTGTGAAACACTAAGGCATCAGTGCACACATGTTGCATGCGTGGCACATGTGGGAGTGGTGTGTGTCGCATGTGACGCGTACGTGTATGTGTGTGTCGCATGTGTGATGCATACGTGTATGTGTGTGTCGCAAGTGTGTCACATGTGGGAGTGGTGTGTCTCGCGCATGTGGCACATGTAGGAGTGGTTTGTCGTACGTGTGACGCGTACGCACGTGTGAAGGTGTTTTTTAGGCTTGAACCGGTGCACGTGTATACCGCTCGTGTCACACGTACACACGTGCATACATGTGCGTGTGGCACATGTCAAAGTGTGTACCGTTCGTGTCACACATACACACGTGTGGGAGTGGTGCGTGTCAAGTGTGAAACCGTAAGGCGTCGAGTGTCGTACGTCGAAGTGTCGAACGTCTAAGGTCAGTCGAGTGCGTACGACGTATCGGGACGGGTCGGTGTCGGTACGT